GCGAGGACTGGACTCTGCTCAGCGCCAGGGACGCTTTGCTGCTGTGTCCTGCAGGGCAGGTGCAGGTCAAGCTCAGTGTCCCACCTCTAACCAGCCCTGTTCTCCCTCTCTGTGGCATTTCCAAAAGCCAGGCAGAGCTGAGAGCCCCCATAAAGCCCAGGGAGCTCTGCAGAGCTCGCTGTGTTTGCACTGAAGGCACATACAGGGCAGGTCCAGCAGGGAGGACACCAGGGGCTGCAGGACAGCCCCACCACATTTGCAGGACCCACAGACAGGCATTTCTCTCTTCTCCCCCTGCCCTCCCACAAAATGAGGAGAGAGACACATTTAATGACAGTTTGCTGAAATGTGTGTTCCCTGCTGATTTGACATTGGGCAGAAAAAGTGTCTACAAAATCAATTTTTAATAAATGTAAACAACTAAATTATGAATGACAAGAATATCACTGAACACTTAAATATTAATCATGTAATTACTTAAATTAATACTTTTAGTGCAATATTGTGATAGAGAGTTCTGCTTAGGCAGTGTCGCTGTGCTGGTCAGAGCAGGGCACAGGGACCACAGGACACAGTGCCCCCACAGCAGGGGGACCTGGGGGCTTTGGGGCCTCATGTGCCACAGCCCCACTTGCTGATTGTCCCACAGGTCCCACAATACTGGGTGTTCTTCTTAAGACCTCTGGAACCAGATTGATTAGGAAATAGCTTGTATTTTCTGTTCAAAATAAAGCTGTCAAGAAAACAGCTGAACTGGCCCAAACCAGAGAGCAAGCTGCCCCACTCCAGAAACTTTTCTGTCCCAAAGTGCCCTGAAACTGCCCAGCAGCTGTGTGTGATGTGCAGAGCCGCAAGTGTGCTCAGTGATGCCATAGGTGTGCTCGGTGATGGTTTTTGGGATGACCAGAGGTGCTCTGGAGGGATCTGGGGAGCCAAAAGACCTGTCTGCCTCTGAAATGGAGCTGGGGGAGTTGCTGAAGCATGTGGTGCGTCCTGAGCTCTGCTCTGGGGCTGCACTCCCTGCCCTGCAGCCCCTTCTGTGCTCCTGCTTGCACAGGCTGGAAAATTGGTCCCCAGGATTCAGGGGGCAGCAGCCCTCTGTAGATACTTGCAGGCAGCACAGGGCTTCTTTCCTTGCCCAAAAAAACTAAAGAAAAGAATTTACTGGCACTCTTGTCCTTGTGGGTTGGCTGTCTTTGTTGTTTGTTTTTAATCTAATAAAAGAAGATCTTAATATCATGGCAAAATTGGTGCAAAGCTGGAAACTCACCCCCGGGCGTTTTGGCGAAACATGATTGAAAATGTGAAAGCCTTTAGCAGAAACAACAAAAGCACAAAGAAACAGCAGGGATGGGATCAACAGGTTCTGTGCTGGCTCTTGGGAGAGGCAGGGCTGGAGGTGCCAGGCTGGACAGCAGCCCTGTGGTGGCTCTGTGGCTGGGAGCCCTGGGGGCTGGGTGGGCAGCACTGCAGAGCAGGGATCAGGAGCTGGGAAAAGCACCTTGCTGGGAGGGCAGGAGCAAGCAAGGAGCAAGAAGAGGGGACTGGGAGGATCTGAGCTCTGGCCAGGGTGGTGGAGGCCATGGAAGGACACACTTGGCATCCTTGGGCTGGCAGCTGCTGGAGCTGGTCCTGCCTCAGTCTGCTGCTCCCTGTGTGGAAATTCCGTGTTGGACACAGATGATACAAGTGCTTCTAAATGAGAAAGTGAAGCATCTCCTGCTAAAGGTGGGGGTGCTGAAGGATGTTCATTGTTCAGACTCGCCCTTGCTGCAGATCCCAGTGCAGCTCCTTTGCCTTTTCTCCCCTCCCTGTGCCTCCTCACAGGCAGCACTGGCCGTACATTCCTGTGTGCCATAGGCAGAGGCCTCCTCAAAGTGCTAATTTATCCACCAGTACAGTGCTGGTTGCCATGACCACCCATAAAAACAACATTTTCAGGGTGCCTTGTGCCCAGTCTGAGCTGCAGCGGCTCCCCATGGGTTTAACCTCACAGCACAGGGTGGGTCCCTGGAGGGAGCAGCTCCCTGAGGCTGCCAGCCGGGCTGTGCCTTGTTTCTGACTGATCATCAGCACATCTGGACAGGGCAAACCCTTCCTGTCCCCCTGCTCTTGCTGGCCTGCCAGCCTGAGTGCATTTTGCTTCTCATTTTGTTCTGGCACCACAGACCCATCCACGGAGAGCTCTGTGTCTCTGTGCAGAGCATGGAGCTGCTCCTGGTCACTGTGCTCCTTCCCACAGCCTCACACAGGGACAGGAATCCTGTCAGGAACTGTCCATTTGAGTCCATTTGTGCTCTCCCAGCATTGCATTTCCCAAAGGACTTTCCCAGGTGTGGTTTGAGCTGTGAGATGGGAGGAGAGGGAGCTCTTTCCACATGCAGCATTACAACACGCTGCCCTGAAGTTGGTTCTTGGAACGTAGCATCCCCTAAAATGTCAAATAAATCCTTAAACTATTCATCACTCTGTTTTTGGGGTGGCAGTTAAGTCTTTCAACACTCTGTGAGTTTCTTTCCCCAGCAGTAATTTTGCTGGTGAAGAAATACAGCTCAGGGCACTCCACAAAGCGGAGCCTCAAAATTCATGTTTTGTTTTCATTACCAAAAAAATGCTTTACTACATTAAAGAGTGGCCCATTAAAATGTTGTACCCTGTCTTCTGTGCACCCTGTAGTTGTTGGCAAGCCTTCCCCTGTGCCCGTGCAGAGCAGCTTTGCCTCTGCAGCCTCCAGAGAAAGGGCAGCACAGGGGAGGAGGCTGCAGCCACAGCTCAGCTTGCTCACATGCAAGATCTCAAAACTTCCAATAGCCATGCAAATTGACTCAGTAAATGTATATACTGAAGCCTAAGCTATCAGTGCTTCCTCTGCTTTCAGTGTATCCCAGCACAGCACAGTGCCAAAGGAAATAAATTAACTGTCTGGGTCCTGGAGTAAAGTGTGAGTCTGTACAGAGCAGTGTGTTCAACTGTCTTGGGCAAATGGCCCTAAAATAACAACAAAAAAGAGCACAGTGGATTACAGGAGTCTTACTGAACCTTGGAATTATATGAATGAAATGTTGCCAGGTGAACTGGATGGCATTCCCTGATACTGTAGGAACACTGGAGGTTGGAGAAAACAGTAAATGTTGTAATTGAGGTTTGGGAAAGCACTTGGTTATTCTCACAAGTAACCCAGACTAGCTGGATGCTGGCATGAAAGCAGGCAGCAAAACCTGCAGCTTCCTTAGTTAAGAGGGCAGAAAGGTTTTTTAGCAAAATTCAGTGGAGACTTACCAAGTCCAGCTCTATTTATTATTTCCACATTTTATTTAGATACAGATGGCGCATCAATAAATTTACAGCCATATCAGCAAGTTAGATCAGAGCAAGGTGCAGCTGTGGGCCAGGGCCCAGGGCACAGCAGGAGCAGCAGTGGGGCAGCAAACCTGCAAACCTGACCCTGGGTGGGCACTGGGGTCACCCCTGAGCTGGGCTGCAGCTTGGGATGGGACAAGGGGGCAGCCAGGCTGGGCTGCAGCAGTGTGGGCATGGCCTGCAGCAGGGTTTGATTTCTTGTTTTGCAGGGAAGGGGGGAGCCCTGCCCTGGTCTCAGCTCTTCTGGGTGTTTGGAAGGGCTGGCTGATAGTGAAATGCAGCCAGCTGTGGGATGGCCTCCCTGGGAAATGGAGGAGTCCTCCTGGCAGGATTATTTAAGGCTGGACTTTGAAAGATGAGCCACTGTGCAGTGGGGAACAATGCTGCCCTGTCAGAGAGATGGACTCAATTACTTAATAGGTCGTTGCTGTCTGTCTCCTGCGTTTTCCCTTTCAAGAACATACATTCAGCTGGGTTATTTCTCATGGGAAGACAAAGCCTTGGGAGAGGAGGGGAGAGCCTGGAGGAGCAGCAGCCAGGCAGATGCTGGTTTGCTCTGTGTGGAGCAGGCTCTGGAAATACCTGGAGTGCTGTGGCTGATGTGGTCCTTTGGTCCCATAATCAGCTGATCCCCTGGTTTCACAGGTCTTGCTCCCATTTTTTTTCCTCACAAAAGATTTTCCAGGGTGCTCTCCCCCCACCAGGCTCATCCCCAGCACTGCTGCTGGTGACACTGTGGGGCTGCATGGGCCACTGGTTTCTGGTTTTGTGCATTGGATGGACACTGACAGCTTCATCCAGCCCATCCCAGTGCCTGGGCAGCCTCTCCTCCAGCACAGAAAGGCTTGGAGGGTGTTTGATCAAATGCCAGCCAGGCTGGAGGCCAGCTCATGGCCAGGAACCCATCCCTGGAGCAGCCACTTGGAGCAGGACATGGAGGGCAGGGACGTGTCACAGCCAGGGACTCGTGTTCTCCCCTGGGGCCCTGGGGTGAGCATTCCAGCTGTGGGGTGAGCATTCCAGCTGTGGTATGATCCTCCCCAGCATCCCTGGGGTGAGCATTCCAGCTGTGGGTGATTCTCCCAGGATCCCTGGGCTGAGCATTCCAGCTGTGGGGTGAGCATTCCAGCTGTGGGTGATTCTCCCAGGATCTCTGGGCTGAGCATTCCAGCTGTGGGGTGAGCATTCCAGCTGTGGTGTGATCCTCCCCAGCATCCCTGGGGTGAACATTCCAGCTGTGGGGTGAGTATTCCAGCTGTGGGCGATTCTCCCCAGCATCCCTGGGGTGAACATTCCAGCTGTGGGTGATTCTCCCAGGATCCCTGGGCTGAGCATTCCAGCTGTGGGTGATTCTCCCCAGGTTCCCTCTGGGGTGAACATTCCAGGTGTTTTCCAGCTGTGTCCATGGCCGTGCCTGGCTGGGCAGCAGAGCCTGGTCGGTGCCAGGGCAGCCCCTCAGTGCCCTCAGTGCCCCCAGCCAGGGCTCCTGCCCTCCTGCACGTGTTTGTCACCAAATTAACACCCTGCATAACCTTATGCACCTTGAATTGATGCACCTAAATTGGTTGTTCTCGAGCCCCGAGGGTGTGATGAGATTTTGTCTCTTTTGCCATTTCTTTTTCTCTTCTCTTTTTTCCCAGAATAAGTCGTCTGTTTAATGGCACAGAGCCCATTGTCCTGGACAGTTTAAAGCAGCATTATTTCATTGATCGAGATGGGGAGATTTTCAGATATATATTAAGCTTCCTAAGGACATCTAAGCTACTGCTCCCAGATGACTTTAAGGTAAGGAAAGCTAGAGTCTGCAATCTGTTTTTTTCCTCCCGTTCTGTCATTTGTTTTGGGGCAGGTTGGTTTGTATGCTTGACCTAAACACACTTAACTAAATGCTGCTGTTTATTTGTTAGGATTTTTAGTACTTGTGTATTATACCAGGGATGTTATTATTTAATAAATGGACCAGTGGTTGTCATGGATACAGAGAAAAGTTAAACGATGAAGCTTATAGCTAAATCAGTTTTTCTAAACTAATTGTATTTTCTCACATTTTTAGCTCATTTATCAGGGTATAACAACAATTAAGAAGCAGCATCAGCAACTTGCACTTAGCAGGGTTTAATGCTCAGGATCTGAAAGAAATGTTTCAAATTTGATACGCAGAGGACTTGAACTGTGTAAATCTTTTTCTTGTTGGTATAAAAATGAAACCCTTAAACAAGCCCATGAGGATTTGTGTTAGACATAACCACTGCACATGGTTTGATTTCAGGAAGTAATCAGCTCACAGTTAATGTCAAAATATTCTTGGGAGCTGGAATTGACTGAAGGCTTTTTAAGGAGCAGGACATGTTTTGTGTGAAGCCATGGTGCTGGTTGTTTCTCTGCAGGCCCTGATTTTTGTTTAAATGCTCTCCTTTTGGCCTGGTTTGTTTGGCTTTGCACTGTCATAGACATCCTTTATGACAAATCCTTTCCTTAGGATTTTTCCTCCTGAGAAGCTGGGAGGCCTCAGGAACAAAATGTAAACAATGGTTATCTGCTGCTGTGGAATGCAACAGGTGCATCTGGGATTGGCCCATGTTTGATGTTTGTAATTAATGGCCAATCACAGTCAGCTGGCTCGGACAGAGAGTCCAGGACACAAGCCTTTGTTATCATTCTTTGCTATTCTATTCTTAGCTAGCCTTCTGATTAAATCCTTTCTTCTATTCTTTTAGTATGGTTTTAATGTAATATACATCATAAAATAATAACTCAAGCCTTCTGAAACATGGAGTCAGATCCTGGTCTCTTCCCTCATCCTCAGACCCCTGTGAACACCATCACATTGCACTTAAAAAACTTCCAGCATTGCCACCCTGATGTAGGAAAATTAGAAGACAAAAGTGTCCGAACTGTAGGTGACAAGATTCAACAAAAGCACTTATTCCAGGGTGCAATGATGAATAAATTGGGATGGCAGATGGGGATCTGCTCAGTTAGAGGATGCAGAGCATTGCTAGGAAGGAAAACTCCTCCTTTCTCTGAAATGCCATTTCACTTTGTTGTACTGGCTGGGCACAGGATCCCTTGGTGAGTTGTGACTGAGTAAATCCAGAGTGCAGAGTGCTGCTTTGGAGCAGAGCTGCTCCTGGTGCTGCCAGCTCAGCCATCCTCACCTGAGGCAGGAGGACAATCCTGTCTGACCCCGTGGGAGGGTCTGCAGTCACACCTGCAGCACATCACAACCTGCAGGGACAGGTTCTGGCAGCCCTGGTTGGAGCTCCAGCCCAGAGGGGCTGCCCTGAGCACTGGGTGTTCCTGCATGGGCTGGGGGGAGAAAACTGCAGAGAAATGAGGGAAAACCCCAAACCTGTGTGTGGTGGTGGAGCTAAAGAGCAGAGCAGTCCTGGGGGATGCTGTAGTCCTTTAGGATGGATGAAGGGAAGGGTGGATGGAGAGGGGGAAGAGGCACAGGAGAGCAGCTGTGGTTTGGACAGTCCAGTGGGACAGTGTGAGGTGAGGCCACACCTGGAGTGCTGTGTCCAGTCTGTCCCCTCAGTCTGGGAAGGACTTTGAGATGTTTGCGCACATCCAGAGGAGGCAATGAGGCTGGAGAGGGGCTGGGAACACAAACCCTGTGAGGAACCCCTGAGGGAGCTGGGGGTGCTCAGCCCGGAGAAAAGGAGACTCAGGGGTGCCCCCATCACTCTGCACAGCTCCTGAAAGGTGCCTGTGCTCAGCTGGGGCTGGGCTCTTTCTCCAGCAGCACTGACACAACCAGAGCACACAGCCTCAAGCTGCACCGAGGGAAATACAGGCTGGAGATTGGGAAAAAGTTTTTTACAGAAAGGGTGATAAAGTTCTGGAATGGCTGCCCGGGGAGGTGGTGGAGTCACCATCCCTGGGTGTGTTTAACAAAGCCTGGATGTGGCACTGGGGGCCAGGGTTTGGTTGAAGTGTTGGGGCTGGGTTGAACTCCATGACCTTGAAGGTCTCTTCCAACCTGGTCATTCTGTGAATTCTGTGAAATCTGTGTAGAGAGGATAGGGGAGAAGAGCTGATCGTGGATATGGGGCTGATCACCAGCACCCAGATTCCAGAGGGGCTCAGTCCCAGAAGCAGCAGGTTTGGCTGGAGCCTGGAGGGCAGAGGATGCTCAGGGTTTGTGTGTGCAGGAGCCTGGCAGGGCTGGGGGGCTGTGCCTGCTCCCCATCCCCTGCACCTCAGCTCCTCCCTGGGAGAGCTCAGAGCAAACCCCAGGCTAATGAGGGCTCAGGAACAAAGCAAAGCCTTGCTAGGTGGGGAGTAACTAAATCAAAATGCATAGAAGAATGAATGCTCTGTAAAGCTGTATTAAAACTGCACTGTAAACGGATTTAACTTCACAGAAATCGTGTAATTTTGCCAGCATGATTAAAGTGACAGAAGACAATAATCAAAGGCAACAAATGGAATCACTTGGTGTTTCTAAATGCAAAACTCTATTTAAGGTATAAAACCTGACAGCTTTTCCAGTGAGACTTGCATTAAATGTTCTTTATGTCAAACAAAGCACTATCAAGTGTTTTGAATATTTATTAGTTTTTACCCCTTAATTTAATCAAGCAGTTTATTAGCCTCAAGGTTTAGCCAAGTTGCTTTTCAACTTGAATTGCTGCTCAGATGGTTATTTTGGAAAGTTTGGAATGTTAGTACCACACCAGCATTATTGTGTTTGCTATTTCAGTGTTGTTTTCAGACGAAGTTAACACTGAAATGCAGAGAAAGTGAGATGTGTGTTCCAAGGCTAGTGATTCTTTATTATCAAGTCTGATGGTGTGTTTACAGTGAATATTAATTACACTTGCAGCTACTACTAAGACAGAACTTGAAAGTGTCTCCCAGACCTTCCTGCTGGAGGTAGCACTGCTATGGTTGCTGTGATTTTCCCAATCTGCCCTCCCTGAGCCCCCCTGGCATCACAGGGGCTCCCCAGGACCTGTCCCCTTCACTGCCTAAGGGCACACAGAGCCAGGAGCTCCTGTGAGCCTTGTTTGAGACTCACTCCTGCTCTGAGAGCATCAGACACACACAGACACAGAAAATGTGAGTATTGTAGCACACAGACACAGACAGTGTGAATACTGGAGCAGGCACAGGCAATGTGAATATTGTAACAGACACTGCAATGTGAATATTGTAACACACAGACAATGTGAATATTGTAACACACAGACACAGGCAGTGTGAGTATTGTAACACACAGGCAATGTGAATATTGTAACGCACAGACACTGCAATGTGAATATTGTAACACACAGGCAGTGTGACTATTGTAACACACAGACACAGGCAATGTGAGTATTGTTACAGGCACAGGTAATGTGAATATTCTAACACACAGGCATGGGCAATGTGAATATTGTAACAGGCACAGGCAGTGTGAGTACTGTAACACACAGACAACAGGCAGTGTGAATATTGTAACACAGAGACAATCTGAATATTGTAACACACAGACACAGGCAGTGTGAGCATTGTAACACACAGGCAATGTGAATATTGTAACACACAGACAACAGGCAATGTGAATATTGTAACACACAAGCAATGTGAATATTGTAACACACTGACACAGTGTGAATATTGTAACAGGCACAGTCAGTGTGACTATTGTAACACACAGGCACAGGCAATGTGAATATTGTAACACACAGACACAGGTAATGTGAATATTGTAACACACAGACAACAGGCAATGTGAATATTGTAACACACAGACACAGGTAATGTGAATATTGTAACACACAGACACAGAAAATGTGAGTATTGTAACACACAGACACAGACAGTGTGAATATTGTTACAGGCACAGGTAATGTGAATATTGTAACACACAGACACAGGCAATGTGAATATTGTAACAGGCACAGGCAATGTGAATATTGTAACTCCTCTCAGAGAGGGAGGAGCACAAAGGCTCAAGACAGAGTTTTATGTGGATTACAGAAATCACCTGTAGCCCCAGAATGACAGGGCCACCACTCCAGTTTATTAATACAGTTACAAATTTGTGTACTTGCATCTGAAGTCTCCCAAACTGACCTCAGGAAATAGTTGTCAGTGTACAAGTGAGCAACTTTCTTTCATAGCCAGCAGTCAGATCTTCACAGCACTAAAAATACAAGAGAAACATTGAGTTAGGATGACAGTTTGTTGTTTCATGTAATAAAGAATAACAAGTGAAAAATGGACAGGAAGGGCCATTTCAGCCTGCTCAGGAGTCAGCATTAGGTACAAAAACAGAGGGTGTGTTTGGCACTGAGGGGGCAGCAGCAGCTCTGTGGGACACAAGGGCTCAGCCTGTGCTGCTGCCTGTGCTGGGGGCACATCTGGAGCATGGAGCAGCAGCACTGCTGGCCTGGAGTCACAGCCAGATGTGAAGATGCCACCCCTGTCCCAGGTCACTGCCAGAATCCAGCCCACTTGAAACCCACCACAGAAAAAGCTTTTCTGCTGAACAAAAATCAGAACATTGTTTTGTGAAAGGCAAAAGGCTTTTTGCATCTTTGAGAGGTCTGTCAGTGTTTCCCATGGAATCTGCATGCAGGCCAGGAGCTGTGGCTGGAGAAGGGCTCTGTGCATCCCTGCCTGTCTGCTCTGTTCCTCCAGTGGCCTGGCAGAACTTCCCACTCATTCCTGCAGCAGCCACAGGGGGTTCATGGGGGCTGAAAAGGCTTTTGTGGCACTTTACAGAAAAGTTAAAGGCTGGACTCTATCTCCCCTTTCAGTCTATCAAAGAGCACCCTGCTTGTGACTGCACTGGTATGGAAATCTCCTCCAGAGGCAAATGTGTTCCTAAACAGAAGCAGCTGCACTGTGTGTCACAGTGCTGGGCTCTGGTGCTGCTGTTGGGGAGCTGGAACACAGGGAAATGATGCCTGTAGGGAATGGGAGATGCTTTGGTCCTGCAGGACAGGGAATCCTGGTACTGTACAGCATCTGCTGTGAGTGCTGCCTGCCCTCAGCAGCACTGCCCTGGAGAGGCTGAAGTGTCCCTGTGCTGCTGTGGCACAGAGCTGTGCCCCGGGCTGGGTTTCAGTGTCCCCCTGTGCCCATGGCTGCTCCCTGCCTGTGCCTGTCCTGGATGGGGCCATGTCTGCATCTGCCTTTGGTGACTACTGAAACCAACAGCATGGAAATGTTCTCTTGCAGTTCCTGTGGCACCTCCCTGCTGAGGCCTCTTGTGGGTTTCATTCTTCTGCTTCACATTTCATATTAAACTCAAGTAAATCCTCAGGGTGGTGTTTGATGTCTGCAGTGCAAGGGTGGCAGCACCTGTGCCAGTTTTACCTGTGCAGACAGTGCAGAGCTGGGCTCTGCCAGGCTGGTCACAGACAGAATTCTGAACAAGGTGTCAAACCTGAGGGAAAAGATTCTGGGCTTGGTGTGCAGAGCCCATGACCCTGTCCAGGCTCAGGATCTAGAGAACCTGACCCCCATGCTGTGACCCACTCACTTTGAATTCCTGGCTCTGTGAAATGCTCCTCCCTGCCTAAACACACTGTCAGATTGCCTCAGGATGCCCCAGTCCCTCCCTGCAGGAAGGTCAGTGTCCCATCAGAGGAGCAGGGGCAGTGGGCAGCACTGCAGGGGGGGGTCACACGAGGTGTCCTTGGTGTCCCTTCCCTGCACTGCCACTGAATTTCTTTTGCTGCAGAGGACACTTTTATCCCCTCCACGTGTTACTGTGCCACAGCACAACCAGTTCCCCTTTCTGGCCCTGCCTGGCAGTGGTGCCCATTCCCTGGCAGCAGCTCCAGGCAGCAGCACCCCTCAGTCCCAGGGGCTGTGGCAGGGCCCTTCTGCAGGTGCTCAGCCCTGGCCAGATCTGTGCTGATCCTGAGTGTGGAGCAGGCAGGGGCAGGAGAGCCTGACTTTAGAGATCAACCCAAACTCAGCACATGATGCTCAGCCCTGCCCTGATTCCCACACAGCCCCTGAACTGTGGCTCTCCCATTCTGGGGGCAGCAGTGGAAGAGCTTTTCCATCTGAAAGCAGGTTTTGTTCTCACAAAATGGTACCAGGATGTGCAGTTTATGCGGTTCATTTTAGGGCAGATGGCAGCCAGCAAGGGTCCCTGCAGAGCTGCAGTGATGGGGTGGGCTGAGCTGGCTGTGGGGGGAGCAGGGCTGCTGTAATCTGGGTTTTGCTGGTTTATGGCATTGCTGCTCTGGCCTGAGGCTGCAGGACCATGGAAGTCCTGGATTCAGGACCCTGCCAGGCCAGGGGAGGCAGCCAGAGCCTCTGTAATGGGATGGGCTTTGCATCCATCTCAGAAGCCCTGTGCCACTCTCTGCTCTCAGCAATGAGGGGCTGTTCTTTCTGTCACTGTACATCTCCTCCAGGTTTTACTGATGAGTTTTCTTAGCACATATTCACTTGATTGATTTTACAAATAATACCTTATTTTATAGTGTCCATGAACCCAGACACTCTAAAACTGGTTTTTCAGGACCTGCTGAAAGCAGCAGATGACTTTCCATTGCCTTCAGAAAGTGCTGGGTGCTCCCGTTCACTCTACACCATTCCATTTTCCCTTAGCATTGCATGTTTCCTTGCTTGGAAAAGCAATCCATGGCTCCAGCAGATGCCAAGGGAGAATTTGGCAGCCAGTGCACACACCTCTGTACTGCACACAGGCAGGTGGTAAAACTGTGCTCATTCAGTGTCCTGCACAGAGGTTTCAGATTTTTTTTAATTTAGGCCACTAATCCCTGTAGGTTTGAACTGATCCCTGCTCAGCACTGAGGGAGCATCACTGGTGGGCAGAGAAAAGCAGTGATGGCTCAGCAGAGAGAGCTGGGTCTGGCAGGGTGAGGATGTGAGCACAGGGCTGTGGGGCTGTGCTCTGTTACCTGAGCCCAGGCAGTGCAGGCAGCCTCCACAGCTCCTTGCCTGGCCTGCTCCCAGCCCTGGCTCTGGGTTGTTTGCAGCATGCTCTCTGCATGATTTCTTCTTTAATCTTCTGTGTTTTCCATCTTCAAGCTGTCCCGTGAGAGTGTTTGTTGCCCTCATTTCTTCCCACTCCCTCTTATCCCTCTCCCTCCCTGCTCCTCTCATCCTGCAGTCCTTTTTTCTGCCTTGGCTGTGTGCACATTGTCCCCACCTCAGCAGACATCAAAGCGGTGGAAAGGATTGCATGTCCCTTTTGTGAGTGATCACCTTGCCCTGTCACTGTGAATATTCATGTGTCCCCGGGCTGCAGCAGCCCTGGGGTGAAGCAGCACCTCCACTACCGTTGGGTCTGTGGTGCCAAATTTGAGCAGAGATAACTGCTCTGGTTCAGGAATACCCTGCAGCAGGAGATTTTACAGGTTAATTCCAAACTAGTGTGTGGAGTTGCACCTTTTTGTGCTGCATCTCCATTGGCCTTTGATTCCCCTCGTCCCCAGTCCTGGGGCACAGCACACCCGTTACCTCTCAGGTGCTTCTGGTGCCCATTTGCTGACTGCTTCTTGTCATATCATTCTTTCCAGACCAAATGATTTCAGCCATTTCAGTCTCGATTTTTCCTTTCGTTTCATTTTATTTTTCATGTCACTGGTGTGGAACTGGCCTTTGTCCAGGTGTTGGCCTCCAGCACAGCCCACAGGAGCAGCTGTGGGGCAGCATTTGAGGGTGCAAAGGGGTGCAGAGCAGGGAGAGCACAGCCAGGTCCCTGCAGGGAGGAGCTGAGCTGCTCCTCTTGCCCTGGGAGGCTGGAGAAGGCTGGGGGAGCAAAGTGCCCCCAGGGCCTGTCCCTCTCCTCCTGGGCTGGCTGGGCTGGGGGCTCGCTCCCTTTGGCTCCGCATTTCAGCTGAGGTGGGAAAATCTGTCAGAATCTGATGAAACAATCACTGAACTGGGAATTGGATCAGATTGGGAATTGGAATTGCCCAGAGCCCAATGAAGTGATGGACAAATGGCAGGGAAGAGCTGCTTCTGTTCAGCCCTTGGAGCACACGGCTGAGCTCCCAGCCATGGTCAGCTCCTCCCTGGGATTTACCAGTCTCAAAGTGCATTGAAATACATGAATAGTCATCAATGGCAGGCAGCAGCTCAGCTGCTGGAGCTGAATTCCAGCCTCAGCAAGGCAGGTGAGAAGTGAAGCTGAACTGACATCTCCATCTCCAGCACAGCTGTGGGATCAGAAGTGTCCGAGCTGTGGGTGAGGAGCCGGGCTTGGAACATCTTCCCTTGCACCAGGGAGCTTTGTTTATTGCAAGCAGCTATTTTGATTTCTTAACCCAGGAGTGAAGCCTTCTGGCATTGGGCTTTTGGGATAATGAATGGAAGGATAATTCAGTGCCAGGGGAACCCCTCAGCCAGCCCAAAGGATGGAACACCAGCACGGTGAGGTTTCTGTGGAGGTGTGAGTGCCTGGGACCTGTTGCCTTTGCTCTCCTGCTGACAATACAGAAGCCTAAGTAGGTCAAACAGGAACAATACTCATTTTTAAAAGAGAACTATAAGCATTTCTAGTTTCTCTCTCTCCCTCTCTCTCTCTCTTTTTTTTTTTTCCCAGGACTTTAATCTTTTATATGAAGAAGCAAAGTATTACCAGCTGCAGCCAATGATTAAGGAACTTGAGCGGTGGAAACAAGAGAAAGAACAAAGGAAACACTTCCAGCCTTGTGACTGCTTGGTTGTGAGAGTGACTCCGGATCTGGGGGAGAGGATTGCGCTGAGTGGGGAGAAGGCTTTGATAGAGGAGATCTTCCCGGAGACGGGGGATGTCATGTGCAACTCGGTGAACGCGGGCTGGAACCAGGACCCCACCCACGTTATCAGGTTTCCCTTGAATGGATACTGCCGGCTCAACTCCGTGCAGGTAACGAGCGAGCTGCCCCTCCTGCTCCTCCCTCTGCCTTTGCACCGTGCCTTCTGCAATTATATGAAAATTATTTGCTTCTGCCCAATTACTTTCGGTGCTTAGACTGCGAGGAAATATTTTTCTGCCTGGTGAGATCACAGTCTTTCAGGTTTTCCTAAGTCTAAGCAGAAAAATACACTTAGATTTTGTGTATGTTAGTGCCATGCTGGCCTCATAATGGTGTTATACTGATAAATGCTAATTTTTTTCATCAATGTATAGCCTTTGGCAGTTTTTTTTTTTCCTCCAAAGTGCCTCTAGGAAGAAAGAGAGAGTTCCAAAAACTACAAAAAAAATCTCCACACCATTTTATAGAAAATGCAACAATGTGTAAATGCATAATTTATGTCTCACTCATAATTAAATGATGGTGCCTGCGGGATGGACTTAAAAAAATTGATCTCTGCACTTTTTTTTTTTTTCAAAAGGATGTTCTATAAAAATTGCCCAGAGTATTTTAAACAAAAATGTATTTCATTTTGTACCCAGAGTTTTGACATTAGGTTTAAAATTAAACATATGAAACAAAAGAAGATAACTGGACAGATAGGTGGATGGCAGCAGGAATAAATAGGTGCTGTGTGTTGAGGCAGCAGCCCGTGGGCAGGCAGGGCCATTTCTCAGGGATCAGCAGGGCTGAGCCACAGCTCTGGGCAGGAACCAGCTGCCCTTAACTCGGGCAAGACAGAGCTCCTGCTTTCCCTGTGTGCTCCTTTGGAATACCCAAACAGCAAATGCTCGTGTTATGGGCAGGGAAACCAACCAGGAGGGGAGCATTTCCCAAATTCCCATCCTGTGCAGCTGGGCTGTGGCTGTGGGTGTGAGCTGGGCTCTGGGAAATGCCTTGGGAAGCTCCCCTGTGGGCACAAACCCAGGGAGGAGCAGCTCTGGGGCAGGGGCAGCAGCAAGGGAGGACACGAGCCTGGAACTGTGGGTGCTGCACGTCAGGCTCAGGCTCCTGTGTCTGCCAGGCTGCCAAGGGACACCTTCAGCAGGGCCCCCTGAATATGTGAAGGTGCCAGGAGGCACCAGTGCCCCCTGCATGGGCAGCATCCCCTGTGCCCCCTGTGAAACCAGCCCAGGGCTCGGGGGGCTTTGGCCAAGACTCCCCAGGGGTGCATTTGGGTGAACTTCACCAGGCTGGGGCCAACTCTGCACACTTCATTCTGCTGGGGTCAATTCTGCACAGTCCTGAGCAGTGTCACACTGGGCAGGGTTTGGGCTGGGGGTGCTCAGAGGCAGCTCTGGTTTTGGCAGTGGGACAGGGAGGTGTCCCCATTGCTGTGCTGGGAGGAGAGGCAGCAGCTCAGCTCAGGTGGGGAAGATGATTTGTGTCCCTGCCATGGGATACAGTGACAGGGAGGAGCATTTGTGTCCCTGCCATGGCACACAGTGCCTGGAGAAGATGGTTTGTGTCCCAGCCATGCTGTCCATAGGAACCTTTAGATCCCACCAGCAACGAGAGGAGCTGAAACCATGCAGGGTCCCAGAGAGCAGCTCAGCCCTGCCTGGCAGAGCTCTGTGTGCCCACCTGGTTGAGCACTCTGCTCTTTTATGCAGTGCTGTGGCTCCATGGGATACATGTGTAGCAAAAGCTGAACACTAATTGCTGTCATTATTTGAATGTGTTTTGAATTCGGTCAAAATTCAGACAGAATCAAAGGGTCTCTTTGCAAGTTCATGTTGTGGAAAAAAATTTCTGTCAAAGAGTCTGCAGTATAAGTAATCCTGTTAAATTACATCATTTTAATAAATTACATCATTTTACTAAATTACATCATTTTACTATGTAATTAATAGAAAGTATTTTCAAACACTTTCTGGAAAATGATGCATTTCTGAGACCAAAGGCTGATGAAATCAGCAGCTAATTAGCATTGGCCCTGATGAACTCTGGTCAGCACACAGGCACTGCTCATCCCCCTCCAAGGATGTTTTTGGCAAAACAACATTAAGTCAAAAGCTGGAAGTGCAGTGAAAATCTCCAAAGTGAGAAAATCTCCACAGTGAGGCAAATGCACAGACTATGGGGAGATGGGTGATGGTTGGAAGAGCAGAATTGCTTGCAGAGAGTCCCACAGAGCAACACAGGAAGCCTGTCTGCTCTTTGCTCAGGTGATACTTCTGCCTCCCTATGCTCTGCTCAATGTATTTGGTAGCACAGCTGCAATATTTATACTTTTTTTTCTATATTTGATAAATATTTTCATTAAATGCTTTATATCAAGAATTGTGCATATAAAACAAAGAACATCAACACCTAACAGGCAAAAAAAATAATACAGTAACTCTTCATTTTACACCCATTTGTAATTATATATAGGTACAGGTTTTTTCAGCTCCTTGCAATAGGTTCTGGTGGGAGTCAACAATTTACCTTAGAGAAAATTCTGTGATGCTTGGGAATGTTGAATATTAAGTCTTCATAATTAAGAATGTATTTGTTAATATTCTGCACAATTTAAAGGAAAGGATCAGGCTTCCATTTGGAAAACCTCCCAACAAAGTCAGATGTGCTTGGAATATTGGAAGCCAGCATGTATTAAATCTGAGCACAAATCCCCTGTTTAATAATGTGCATGTGTCCCTATGCATGGGAGAGGCACAGCTGATCTCAGTTTTTGGCAAATTCTCTTTGGGGATTTTCAGCAGAGGAGCAGAGATGGTCACTGCTTTCCCCCTGTCCATATCTTGCCTTCAGAAGAAATACAATGTATAGAATGAAATTCTCTAAATGGGATTTAAACCTGTTCAAATGCTGCTCAGTCTCATGGGAGCACTGAAAGGAGCCTTTCCCCAGACCTGAGCTCAGCCCCATCCCAGTGACACCCAAAGCTGCAGTGTTTAAACATCCTCAGCATTGTTTACAGCATTTGGCCTGAGAAAATGGATGATGCCAGGGTTTTAACTCCAGATTGCAGCTGCAGTCTGGTCCTTCAGCACGTTCTGGGCAAGGAGGAATGGCTTTGTTGGCTGTGCTGCTCTGAGGTGCAGTGTCTGCCTGGGCTGGGTCTTTGCACAGAGAGGCTCCATGGAAAGGAATCTGTGTTAACATCCAGCTTTCCATGGCTTTGGTCTGAGGCAAGCCAGGGGCACCCCCTGCTTGTTTTGTCTTACAACCAAGTTGATTTTAAAAACTTTTTAGCAAGGATTTTGAAGTCCCTTCTCTCTCAGAAATCTCGCCTGCCAATCCTCTGTTCCACTGTGCAGTTCAGTGGGAGAAGCCTCCTTTCCCATGGCTGGATTGTGTCCCATGTTCATCCTGTCAGGGCTGGAGCAGTGATCCCAGCACAGAACAAATCCCAGCCTGTGACACAGAGCCTGCTGGTGTCTTATTCCTCCTTCTGTCCAGACTCCTCCTGCCTTCCCCTCTGAGCAGGACAGTGCTGGTGTCTGCACCCATGTCTGTCCTACAGGCCCCATACAGCCCAGGTGAATAAGTGGGATGAAAGTTTTCTTTCTCTGTCTTATATGTATTTTATTAACCCACTCTCCTGCCACTTCTTTTCTTCTCTCCCACTTCATTTTTATTTCATACTCTGGTGTGCTTTTTTGGTCTTTCAGTTCTACTACTTTCTTGCAGTGTAGAGTATGTAAAAATCAGGGCAGAAGTCAGGGAGATTTGGCAGATGTGACTTTCTGAGGATGCTGAGTCCCTGTGTCCCAGGGCCAGGCAGAGCTCCTCAGGCAAGCTGATTTTCAGCAGACTGGGCAGGACTTAGGCAAAGCTCTGCTGGAGCAGCTTCTTCCTTTGCCCATCCTTGGAGCCAGGGCAGAGAGTGAAAGGTTTTAGTCAGCCCTGAAAGCCAAAGCCTGGATTAAATGCAGATGGATGACACAGGAGGGATGGAAGGGATTAAAGGCAGCAAATGCTGCTGCCATGGTTTGCACTGCACCAGGACAGCACCTTGGACACAGCTGGCCCTCAAAATCACCTTCCTGGGAAAGGCAAAGCCAACACTGAGGCAAAGGAAATGTTGCCCTGGGCAATGTACAGGGTCTGTGTGAGAGCAGGGCTCTGCTGGGAGCTCTGACCTGCTCACAGTGAACAGAACACAAACCAGACTCCTTCAGGAACCTCAGCCCAAGGAGGAACGAGCCTGTGGGAACCCAGAGCATCCCTCTGTCTGTCCAGCACAGCCAGGACCCTGCCAGGGGGCTCAGAGACCCTGGCACAGAGCCCAGAACACCTGTGGGTTTGATTGTGACCCGTGGAGCAAATTTCCAACCTTAGATGAAGATCAGCAAGCCACAGCAGTTTAGGTAGAACAATAGTGAAGTTATCACGGGGTGGAAAAGTCGATTTTGGGGTTTCTGGAATGGGGGTTCAGGGGACAAGATGGAGGGATCTGGGTGTGTCCAGCCTTTCTCCTTCTTCTTCTTGGCCTCTTCTGCTCTGATGGTGGCACTTACAGATTGGTTTAGAGTAGAAGCTCACTGTCTAACACAGGTGATAGGTATTGGACAGTAATTGTAAACATTGCACACGTAGTTTTTAGTACAAAGCCATAACAGTGCCCTGGGGCAGGCAGAGTGCCTGGAACTGTCCTGCTGGATGGACCTGGGCAGGGCAGGAGAAAGAATTTTATAGATAAGGAACACTAAACAACCTTGAGACTGAGAAATGAAGAGCCCTGACTGCTTCTTCAAGCACCGGGCTGGGAAAAGAGACTTTGAACAATCTCGGGGTCACAGCGACCACCAAAAGACCCCGAGATGAGCTGACAGCCTGCAGGTGGATGTGCTGCTCCAGCATGTCTCTAGAATCAAGAAGAAGTTTGTGAAGGGCTTGGTCCAGGTTGCTGTGGGTGCAGAGGTGTCACACAGGGCTGGTGCTGCTGTGAGCAGGGTCCTGGCTTTAACAAACCATGGGGTCACTTCCCTGTTCCTCAGTGGGAGCCACACTTGGGGTGAGGCTCTTGGAGACCAGCACAGGCTGCTCCTTGGTGGCATTTATCAGTAGAGAAAAACACAGCAGCCATTTTTCCAGGTGCTGCCCGGGACTCAGGGGAGCCTGAGTGGGTCCTGCATTGTGACCTGCCCAAGGTGGGTCTGGCATCTGCCCTCACCTGGCTCTGGGAGAGGCCTGGTGTGTCCTGCTCTGCTGGGAAGCTGAATATCAACACCACAGCCCCGTTCCCAGAGGCAGGATCAGCATATCCTGGGGAAATGTGCTGTGTGACAGTCACAGAAATTAAAGTTGCCTCTGGGTTCCTTAAATTTGTGCATCTAAATTGCACCAGGAGGTGCAATTTTCTTCAGGAGGAGAAGGAGAAAATACATATTTGGGCAGTACAGATTAACCTCTTTCTTGGGCCAGAACATTTCCCTGTTGCCCACATCCTGTCCCTGCCATGCTTTGCTCCCTTCCAGCCAGGGCACACAGCTGTGATTGCCACAAAGAGCTGGTGGATGTGTCATTTGAACTCCTAAAACATTTTCATCTGCCAAGGAAGAGCTTCTCAGCTCCCCTCTCTCTCACACTGTTCATATTACTATGCCAATGATTAATTGGCACTTTTTATTAGAACTTAAAGCTGATGTTGCTTTCTATAAGGAGTGAGAGCATCAATACCACCACAGTCCAGTATTTTACTATATAATGTACTAAGCTGCTGCAGAGTGCTTATTTCTTTGATTAATTTTTGTTTTCTACAGAGGTTTGCTGAGAGCAAGACTTTAATCACAGTATAGTCATTTAACAATAAGTTATAGAATTATAGCTGAATAATATTCATTCAAGGAAGCCTCAAAAGACTAAATCCATCATTTAGATCTGGTGCTTCCAGATGCTTTTATCACTAAAATTTCCTAAATATTAATCTGATTGTTTTCCCTCCACATTGCAGGTGCTCGAAAGGTTATTTCAGAAGGGATTTAACGTGGCAGCTTCCTGTGGTGGTGGGGTGGATTCCTCCCAGTTCAGCGAGTACGTGCTGTGCCGCGAAGACAGACGACCACAGCCCACCCCAACAATCAGAATAAAACAGGAGCCCCTGGACTAGAACCCTCCCCGTGCCCCTTTGTAACCGTAGAAGTGTTTAATAGTCCCTTATGTGAAACACTAAGGATTTGCAAAACAGTATTAGCAAACAGATTTGGACTTTCTGTTGCCCATCAGTGGTACTCTGAAACTACCTGTCACACAGCCAGCCATGGAACGCGTCTGGAAATCCACTGCCTGTCGCTCACGGTGGAGCTCCTGAGCACACTGACTTGGGGCTGACCAGCAGTGCTGTGGAACAGGCAAAGCTTTGGAAACCCTGGCCCTGGCCTGGACTTCTGCAGCAAGAGCCATGGAAGCAGTGGAAGGGACCAGCAGGAGCCCGGGGACAGCCGGAGCTGCGGGGACGGGGGCGTCTGCGGGAGGAAGAACCCCAAAAACTGCACTGAGAACCTTCCCTGACCGTGCCCCTCCTCCATATCAGACACCCCAGCATCAGTCCCCTGGTGATTGTACTCACCCACACGAGCAAATGGCTTATTTTTATACTACATTTCCAGCTGAGGTCTGTCTCTGTGAACAGGATCCAGAACCAGAAAAGGACTGATTCACAGTCACTGGTGCTCAGTACTTAACCCCCCACAAACCAAACCAAACAAGTGACAAGAAATTAGACAGGCCCACTTATGGCAATATTTGCAACAGTAGGGATCTGGAAGCACAAAATAAAATGCCATCCACCATCACACGAGGGTCACATACCCCACGAGGAGCTGTAGCTCTTTTAAAGCCAATCTTGTTTTGACACAGCAGCTGTTAAGTTTTGCATCATCAAAGAAGTGTGGTTCTACCAAACAAGCCACCCCTTGTTAATCATTTACTGACCATGTTAGAAGCCCACATTTAGCAGGAAAGTTTAAGAATTTTGGACAAGCCCACTCTTTATGGGTCTGGAATTCTTGCAAAGAGTTGTTAAAACCCTGTATTGCCATTGCCCAATGAAAGCAGGACGCCGCCGGGTTAAATTGTTTTATTATTTTAAATTATTATTAAAATTTGAATTCTGTAGCTGCCCTCTATCTGTGTAGCTTTCTCTGTCACAAAGTCAGGGGTCTGTCTGCAGGAGGGTCCTGCTTCTGCCAGGACTTGGCACTGACTCACAGGGCTTTCTAACTCAGGAGACAGCACCGTGTTTGCAGGTGCAAGGCTATAAATAGCATTCTGCTAAATCCTGTTTATTGCTCTTTAGCATGATTGGGTCCTCAATCACTAATTCATGTGTTAATCACAATTTAGTTTCTCCCACAATAATTTATAGAATACTGTTGTAGATGATGAATTTTAATTAAAGTCTTTTTAGATGCATAAATATGGCCATATGGAACAAGGGACAGAGTATTAAGTGGTCAACAGTTCTTAATGCAAATTGACTGCAATCAGGCAAAATTTAAAAGTCATGTTTAAGATGAGTATTTTCAATAGCAATGAGCTGTACTGACTATCCAAGGTAAAATCCAGGCAGGGGTCTAATTTTTGGAAAAGGGCTGGATACCTGTCCATGGAAAATCAGACCTCTGCAGGCTTTCTCACCTTGGTCACCCAACCCAGAAATCTCTAATGGCAATCCTGGCCGGGTGGCCTGCTACCTTAGCAGAACAGTTGAGCAAATCTGTCTACTTTAAGAGTTGTAAAGTTATTTTATTTTGTGGTTTTATACTTGTACGACATTCTAAAGTTGCTAGGCATTGCCATATTTGAATATATGGCACAACATTCACCTTTGTATGTAAGATATCTGTAGAATTGTATATTATACATTTAATATTGTAAAGAACTTAACGTATAATTGTCACGTATTTGTGTATGCACATTTCTTATACAGTACTTCATGCCATAAACATTTCTGTAAAGTAAATGAACAAAAACAAGCACGTAGGGTGGAACACTCACTGTATCTCCCATGTTGTTTGAAAGAGGTGAGAATTTTTGATTGCGTCTTCTCCAGCCCTTTGCTCCATTCAGCTTGATGTAGCCATGTCTTACAAAAAGATAGAAGTGTTTTATTTATTACTTTCATACCTTTAAGTCCAAAGTATTCCTCAATAGTCCATTCAGGTTCTTGTTTTTATCCTGTATCCACTCCTGCCCTGCCCTCTGGCACGGGGTGAGCTGAGCACTCCTGGCAGCACACCCTGTCCAGCTCTTACCTCTCAGCCAGGGAATAAAGGTGATTTCCATCCCAGGGGAATCCTGCCCCTGGTGCTCTCCCCAGCCAGCTCTGGGAGTGCAGACTGGGATGGTGCTTTCACACATCTGTGGAACATTGGAAGTATTTGTGGTTGCTTGGTTGGGTGCTTGGTTGGGTGGTTTTTCCTCAGTTTGGTGTTTACTGTATTTTTTTATGGCTCAATAAAGCAGCTCCCATAGCTGGGGCAGCTTTGCTGAGGTGGCATTGGAAAGGGTTCCAGGCTGCACCAGCCGAGTTAAATGTGAACTTGAGATGGAAAGTTTAAACCATGACATCACAGCATTGACTGCAAAACAGCACAAAGGCTAGGAAGACATGTGGAAACAATCACTTTCTTAGGAAAAAAATGCCTTTAAAAAAAAAAATAAGTTAAGCTAGGACATGTTCTTTTAGTTAGTAACTTCAGGTCACTTATTTAAAGATTATTACAGTTTCATTTATATATTTTTTACTTATTTCCCTATATTTTTAGGCATCAATATCAGCAAAAAAACTGATTTGAATATCTACTTCTGGCCTTAAACCACAGCAACATAACTTAATGAAGAACATTGCTCAGCATCACTAGGATGTTTTAAAGCACCACAGAACCCTGGTGAAGCTGTGGTGTGCAAAGGCCAAGAAGCGAAGCACAAAGCACAGCCTGGTTCTTCACCTGATCCCATGGAGCAAAACTGCTCTGATCCTCTGTTGCTGAGCACTGGCCCCGTGTCAGGCACGAGGCTTTGAGCACTTTGTGTCCAGGCTGTCCCAGCCCCAGTGCAGACGGAAAGGGAGGGAGAATGTTCTGTTGTGCTTTTGGGCTCCTCGCTCGACACAGCCACTGCTGAGAGCATCCATTCTCTGCACTGATGGCACCGCGGTTTGCTGACAACTTTATTAGATGTTTCACAAAGGATAAGAATCAGCACAACAAAACATTGAAGTATTTGGTTTTAATATTTGTTTGTGGGTATTCTGTTAATATTTTAATGCAAAATGTTTCTGACCAGTGCTTAAGAACTACAAGACAATGTGAAATTCATGTTTGATAAATTAATACTGTATGTCACTCGATGTGTTACTTTAGTAAATTGTTTTATTTCTTTACAAAATAAGTACAAATAAGGGAGTATGTTTTCACACAAATTGGGGGTATTTACCAGTATGTACAGAAATCATCAAAATAACGTAACTCTAATAAACACAAGGCCTTTATAAACAATATGTACAAATTATCAATACATTTAAAACATAACTTTACACTTCCTGGCCTTAAATACCTTATGAATAATCTTTTGGCTAAATAGCAGCAGTATAAATTTTCTTCTGCTTTTCATAAACCTTAAAAAATAATTAAAACCTTTGTTTTTAAAACTATTGGACAAATAGTTCTATTTGTGCTTTCGCTATGGTTTCCCATCAAAAAAAATATTGCCTCAAAAAAGTGGCAAGCATAACATAGTAAAAACAGAGAAGATAAATAAGCAAATGTCTCCCTTCCGTGGTACTGTAACACTGTTAATGAACTCTGCAGCACAGCCTGTGCCCCTGCTGTTCTGTCCCACTGATCCCCATTGCTCAGACCCACACCAACCACTTCCCTGTGGGCCCAAATTCTGCTTCAGCAAAGCATTTCCAAGGCATTCACCCCACCTTTAGGTACTTACAGCTGCTCCTCATGCTCAAAGCCACGTGCCTGCTCAGGAGCCTCTCTGGCTGGAGCCTGGTGCAGTGTCCGGGGCAGAGGTGTCCCCACTCCAGGTGCCACCGCGCTCCCCATGCCAGCAGCGGCCCCAAAAACCTTTACAGCGACTTTAAAAATCATATAGAATACTCTAAAATCTTTACCCAACAATATTCTCTTTTAAAACCACCATTAAACCATACTATTTGCAATAAATAAATTAACATTTTTTAGAAAATAAAACCCAACTTTGAATCTCGTCACTAACCAGCTGCTACAAATGCACAAAAGGTTGATGAGATTGAGAAAACAAATGGAAGCAAGTCAAGGTAACTCAGCTGAGAGCCTGCACACACATTTCATACACTTAAGATTTGGTTCAGCAAATGGCTCAGGAAATGAGCTGTGCAGTAAAAGCAAAAATCCTAAATATATAAAATTTGTGGGAGTGTGCAGTGGCGAGTCTCTTGGCTGTGCAAAAAATTGCCATTACAACTAAGTTAAATAGCAACAGGTATCACCATGGTTAGTGAGACAGTGCTAGCAAACTGAAAATAAACCCAGCACCAGGAGTGAACACTCAGGTGAACACAAGGCTGGGACCACTCCTGTGAACCTGTCCCAGGCCTGGCCAGGAGATGGTTTGGGTGAGCCATTGCATTTGTGTAACTTCAACACCAGCTACTTCAGCCTTACCTAAAATGGCCAGATGGAGCAAGACTTTGATGTTGATTTTTTTTTGTGGAGTTAACATTTTAAAACCTTTTGCACATTTTCTGTGGTTTATATATATATATATATTTTTACATAAAGGGAATTTATTGCATGTGTCTGACAATTTTACAAAACAAAATTACCGGAACATTGACTTCTGAAAAAAATAGAAGGCACATTAAAATGACAGCTTTCAAAGCAAGTTGAGCTTCTGTGGAGCACTCAGTAGGACTGTTGGCTTTATTTAAGCAGAGCTCGGTAGAGCAGGAGCGAATGGCTCATTTCCCGCTCCTGCTCCATGTAGAAGATGAAGTCCCTGAGGTTGACTCGAGTGATTTTCTGCCGGGGGTACTGCCGGGGGGAGCCCGTGCCCAGCCCCGCCAGGCTGCCCCCGCACAGCCCCACGCCCTGCAAGAGAACACAGCACAGTGAGCCCTGCGGAGCCAGCCTGCCTCCTCCGGGCTGCAGGACCCCTTAGACACCCGCAATGGATCATTACCAGCCTCTTCCTGACACTACATCAGGGGTTTTAAATATTATTGTCTTTTCTGTTCTTCTGAGTCTCAGCGAGTTAACCTGGTAAAGGCCTCAAGTGCAAATCTGGGGCTAAACCTTGTTCACTTCCAACTGAGGGCAAATCCCTCCTGCTACAGTCATGTCCACTGAGGATGTATTTGAGCAGTTTAAATTCAGGAACCAAACGATTTTCAGCAGATAAGGCCATTAATACATCAAATGTGTGCAGGATGCTGCTGCTCATCCAAGGATGGGAACAGGTGAGTGGAATATTGGGAGTCCCCACAGAGACTCAATTCTCTGCTCTGGGTCTGCTAAAGAGAGGGGCTCAGTGTGGGG